TTTCCCCTCCCTTTCTTCTCTTCTTCATCTCCTCCCCAAGTTCAGTCACAGCCAAGGACGTGGGGAGACTTTCCTTAAATCTGCATTTCACCCCCAAAGGGTTCTTAAGCCCTAGAACCCAACCCAAGCTAATAGTCAGTGCCCTCCAAACACCAAGCAATTCCCAACTCCTCGTTGCTAGCAGAAGCATTGACAATTAGCACTTGCACTTCCACGGTACTCCAAAGTGTGTAAGATGCTTTCACAAACATCGTCTCATTTAATCCTCACAAAAATCTCATAAGGTAGGAATCTGTTCCCTCAACCACTGTTCCTTCTCACGTCATCTCACGGAAGGGCATTTATTCCTGCCTGAGAACATTCCCTCCTCCGAGAGCCTCAGAAGCTACAGCCCTAACTATTTCATGAAGTCATTGCATATCAGAGCTGGTGAACACCACCCCCTCCATGTGGAATCTCCCTGTGGAAAGCTCTGTCCTTCACCCTCATCCACTGGAGGACAGAGCTACCTCCTTCCATAGCCCCCAGTACTTTCTTCATTCATTCTGACTTGTAGTTACCTGACTACATTCATTTTCCAGGCCCCACTCCCTATCTGTACCTGCCCAAGGTCAGGGGCAAGGGTCTGGCTCAGACTTTCAGGTGGCCTGAGCCCAGGGCTCAGGAATCCCTACTGTGATCGGCCATACTGAATGTACTGACTGAGCTCTTCTAATCCCACATCAGCACTGGGAGTCCCTGAGGGCACCCCCGTGCCCACACTGCATAATCCTCTCGGCTCCCTGTGGCCTCAAGGTGCACCCTACCCCCACCCCACCTGGGGCCAGGGTTCCTCACCGTGGAGCTGTAAGTATGGCCATCAGAGCCACAGACCGAGGCCAGCTGGGCCATGTGACAGGGCTTGCAGATGGTGTCCCTGTTTCCATGGAGTTTCAGGGCAGGCTGCTTGATCCTACAGGAGAGGGATGGAGAAGAGACAGGGATAGAGACGAAAATGAGAGAGGGCCAAGGAGAGGGAAGGTTAGGGAGACAAATTCCAACATGAAGCTGGACCCGGCAATCTATAGCAGATGCAGCCGCCTCCCTGCCCCCGCTACCTTCCCCCATCATCCACAGCCAGACCTTCCTCTCAGAAGGGTGGAACCAACTGGGCAGGGTACAGACTGCCAGCTCTCCCTTTTCCAGGGGTCACTGAGTCCAGCAGGGTCTTCAGGCAGCAACTCCAGGTCTGACTGTATGATGTAAAAAGGAGTTGCACTTCGCTTAAAGGGGCCAGACCAAACCAGAGGTTACGAAGTGATAGCCTGTGGGCCACATCTGGCCTGTAGACTCATTTTGTTTAGCCACCAAGGGTTTTTGTTTTTAATTGAGATATTCACCAACATTTACAAAATGGAAGAGTTCACATAAAAATTGGGATTCTGGGCCTTTCTTTGTAAAATGGAAGATGCCCCTTTCCACAGGGCCTGGGCTCACCAGAGTGGTCTGTCACTGAGCTCTCTGCACACATTACATTACCTGCCAGGCCCCTGCAAGCATCTAAGATTATCACCCTAAGTCTCTGGTCTCTGTTTCTGATTCAAAAAAGAGGGAAGGGAATTGGGACCTTTTCCAGGGGTCCTGGCGCCAGGCAGGGTCTCGTCCTTGGGCTGAAGCTAAGGCCTCAAAGGCCCCTCACCCATTCCCTCCTCCGAGAGCCTCAGAAGCTACTATTTCATGAAGTCATTGCATATCAGAGCTGGAAAGAACCTCAAACTATCTGGGCCAACCTATTTGTCTTACGGATATGGACAGCAAGGCCCAGAGGGGAGATTTGACTTTTCCAGAGTCCCACATATTTGGTGACTGATCTCACACAGTGTGATGGTTTTAAAATATATCTGAAAATTCTCTGACATTCCTTCCTTCAAAAGATGGAGCCGAATTCCTCTCCTTTAGAGTGTGGCAGTACTTATGACTCGCTCCTATCAAATAGAAGTGGCAGAAGTAATGATGTGATTTCCAAGACTAAGGCATAAATGAAATGTGGCTTCCTCCTCGCTCTCTCTCCCTTGGATGACTCATCTTAAGGGAAGTCGGCTGCCATATTGTAAGGATATTCAAGCATCCATGGAGAGGCCCATGTGACTAGGAACTGAGGACTCCAGCCAACAGCTATGTGAGGAGCTTTCAGATGTCCAGCTTTCAGATGATACAGCCCCAGCCAACATCTTGGTTGTAACCTCACGGCTTCCTTCTCGCTCTCTCTCCCTTGGATGACTCATCTTAAGGGAAGTCGGCTGCCATATTGTAAGGATATTCAAGCATCCATGGAGAGGCCCATGTGACTAGGAACTGAGGACTCCAGCCAACAGCTATGTGAGGAGCTTTCAGATGTCCAGCTTTCAGATGATACAGCCCCAGCCAACATCTTAGTTGTAACCTCTTGACAGACAGACCCTAAGCGAGAACCATCCTACAGAACCACTTCTGGATTCCTGACCTTCAGAAACTGTGTGAGATAATATACATCTGTTGTTTCAAGCCACTAAGTTTTGGGGTACTTTGTTTTGCAGCAAAAGGTAACTAATGCATAGGAGAAGATTAATTGAGCCCTTACTCTTTAAGCAAACCCCATCCAGGGCTGCCAGCTCCCCAAGCCCCTCACCTGTGCTCCAGCTTCTTGCGGCTGATGCACATGGCCCGCTGGTAACCCTGGGCAATGCACACTTTGTGATGGCTGCACTTCACCTTCTGGCAGGGGTCCTTGGTGGTGTCTAGGGCTGCAGGGATATACAATCAGGATGTAGGTCATCTGAGAATCAGTGCCAGAGAGGCCAGGAGTCCCCAGTCCCACTACTGAGCTGGGAAGCCCCTCTCCCCAGTAACCCTCAATAGCCAGAGCTCCTCAGCTCAGACGTCCCACCCTCACAGGCACCTGGCTGCCCAAGGAGCACCCAAGGCCAGGGTCAGGACTTGCTCTCTAGCTTTAAGTCTTCACGGGTGTCTGTCACCTTCCCCCTTCTGGGAAGGACATATTACCTTCATCTCCTTGCTGATTATCCTCCCAGCTCTTGATGTAGTCATCCTAGGGAAGGACAGAGAGGGACAAGGAAGAAGGGACAGGCTAAGATGCACATATCACAATAGAGGTTCAGCTCCAAGGCGAGGAAGAGTAAAAGCCTGGGCCACTGCTTTTACATGCAAATTGCCACCATCCTGGGTGGCTACCCAGATGACTCCTGTCTACCCAAGCCCTGCCAGCTGCCTCTCCTTTCCTCTAAACCCATGTCCAGAATCCCTTCCAGCTTCTCCCATAAATTCTTTATTCCTCCCTCCATCCCACACTGGATGCTGCAGGGAAGAAGTTGGGGCGAAAATGCAGAGGGAGAGAAGAAGAGAGTGCAACCTCAGAGTGGACCACATGCAGCGGAGCTCCAGGCAGTACTCACCTCCACCTCCTAGGGATCAGGAAGCAGCAGCAGGCCACGGGAAATGGAGCAGGAGGAGAAAGGGAGAGAGGGGGATTTCAGTGTGAGGTCAACTCTCAGACCGTGAGGTCCCAGAGCTCCCCTGGCTTCATCACATGGCCATGGGCGCTGAGCAACGGTCTTTGATTGCTATGGTCCTCTGACCGCTAGAGCCTCTAATTGGAGGACAGTATTCCTATATCTTCATCACAGAAAGCTGAAGACCTGGGCCCACTTAGGGCCAGCCCTAGGCGCAATAGGGGTGAAGCCCATGGCATTGAGAGGGTGAGGCCCCATCCTTCTCCTCCAGGCCCCGAAGCTGTTCCCAATGGCCCAGCCCTGGCCCCACCATTAGGACAGATGTCTGAGGGCCCATACTACCTGGGAAGAGTGATTCTCACACCTGTGCCCTGGGCATCGCAGAAACACCACTGTTTTCCTTTGCTAGGGTCCCTCCCTTGGCATTTCTCTCCCCTGAAACTTGTCCACCATGAGAGTGAGGCAGAAGGAGGACCTCTCTTCTAGGCTGCACAGGGACTGTTTTTCACTCTAGATCTGACTTTCCTGCAGAATTCAGATGGTGCAGTAAAAGAAAGGAAGGCCACAGTCCCTCCCAATATTGAAGGCTTCCTCAGTTACCACAGTCCAGCTGCAAATCCTCAGATTCAGAGTATCCTGAAAAGGCCCTCTGAGGTCATCTGGCTCAGGAGAGGCCAGAAAGCTCAGAGACAGGACATTTACCTTACCCAGGTCCCACTGTCACTGAGCCCAGGTCTCCCGACGCCCAACACAGACCTCTCTTCTGGCTACAACACACAGTCTCCAAGACCTAAGGCACATGGGAGATCGCTCCCCACCCTGCTCTGGCCACGAGAGCCTCCCCTGGGCCCATGGACCCCAGAGTGACCAGAGGCAGAGCAATCACCCAATCTATCTCACTGGCACAAAGCCCCCAACTCATTCTGGTTTCCCAACTTCCCTCTATGGTGAAAGTGGTTGAAAACTGACAAACAGCTCCCAGGGTACTCCTCGTGAAAGCTCTGCCAGCCAGGGAAGAGGGCTGCTCAGGACTGGAGGCTGGCAGTGCCAAAGAGCCAGCTATCGGTCGGTCTCCTCTGGATGGAGGTAGAAGGGCATGAGGAGCCACATACAACTGCCCCCTGATCCTGAGTACTGCCTGCCCAAGGATCAGAGTTGTGCAGGGATGAAGGACAGAAGCCACGCTGTGGGGCAGTGGCAGGGAGGGGAGGGAGGAGAAGCCAGACACCTGTCAGGCCTCGGGGGAAGGGCATGGGGCTCCTACACCAGACAGAAGCCTCATAGGGGCAGCAAGCAGCATAAAGGAGGACATCCACACTGCTTTGAAAGCCCCCTGGAAGCCTCCTCTGGGAGGTGACTAGCATCAGAGGAACAAGCAGGGACGTGGGCCTCACCAACGTGTCCTCCTAGGCAAAGGCCAGAAAGGGGTCAGGGCAGAGCAGGCAGTTGGCATTAACACCCAGGTAAAGAACACTGTGGTCAGATGTGTGCTGAGTGGGAGCTTCTGCACATGTGTGTGCATGCATGCAGGCCCTGGGTGCATACATGCACACTCACAGACATGTATTCTGAAGCAATATATATGTACAGGTGCTCATCTATGAGCATGTGTACATGTGTAAGCAACAGTAGTAAATAAGGACACTTCAAGGCAACTCACCCACGGCCAGATGGGTTTTATCCAGAAACGAAGTAACAAAGCACACATCTGAGAGCAGCCTCCAGTTTTCACACTTGAGGACCAAGTCTCTCCCTCCAGCTTAGTCTTCCTGCCTCTTCCACAGGGAGAGAGGGTGAGACAGGGATAGGAAGGGAGGGGAGGCGGCAAGAGAGCAGCAGACCTTTCCCCTGTGAGGAGGATCTGGCTTGTACCAGCTCTGCTCTCTTTCTGTCTTGCTTTCATGTGTGTCTCTGGGCATCTCTTTGTCCGAATGTCTCCGTGTCTCTCCCCTCTTTCTCTCTCTCTTGTTTCTCATTCCCCTTTCACTCTGCCTGTACCTGCCCCCCACCCCCCACATATATCTAAGCAGCCAAGTGTCCTGCAGTCCTTGAACCCAAGAGTAGGAAGGAGGAAGGCCCCAGGAAACACGAAACAGGTGAGGAAGCGAGCCAGGACTCCCGGACTGGACTCGACAGGAGCCTGGCCTGGGCATCCCCTGGGCAATGAACATATCAGCCCAGGCTCTAAGCTCAGGCACCCACCCAGTTCCATAGGACATGGCCTGAGCCCTGTTAAGCCCCTGTGCAAGCTTCTAAGAAGACCACAGGACAGCTGACAGGGAACTGAGCACAATTTCTCTCACTTGCTAGGGCCAGAGAAAGCCAGCCCAGACCTGGCTCTTCTTCCCCAGGAACTTCTCGGGGGTAGGTGTCCTCCGTTGGTGTCCACACCACCACACATGGGAAATGGAGAATAAGAGTAGCCAAGTGGCTGAAGCTAGGGTTACAAGGTTGGAGCAAAAGTAAGTACTGGCCTCCATCAAGCTGGAGTCTTCACGTCTGCTCTATCATTCCCTGAGAGGGGACTGAGCGTAAGGCTGTAAAGAGGACAGGGGACGTGGCTGGTGTTGGCTGGTTTGAGTCCCAGGCCCCCAACCAACATGGTCTGTATGCCCAGAACCCACTCGCGCCTGAACTGGTAGGGAGGGGGCTAGGCTGTCAGCCGAGGGCCTCCACGCCTGCTCACTCCCACACTCTCGCCCTACTCTGCTGCAATCTCCGACCAGGCTGCCAGCAGAAGCCTTTGGGACTCTCTACAAAGTGGGTTCTCGAAGGTCAAGACCAAGAATTTTTGACTAGAACTCCAGAGGAAAGTGGAGTGGGGGGAAAGGAAGTTTTAAAAAAGGAGTTTTCTGTCCAGCTTGTTAGTTAGAGCCCTGGTATGGAGCCAACTTCTCCCCCTGATTCAGCCTGCAGCAACTGAGCCCCTTCTGTATACAAGTGCTGTCCTCGGTTCTAGCTAAGCTCCCTGTCTCCACCGTGTTGAGCGGGTAAAGGGAGACCTGAGTGGTTCTGGATCCCAGGACCCTTGCCCCCAGGAGAACAGGAGCAGCTTGACAGAGAGGGGTGAGGAGAGAGGCCATGGCATCACACAGAACCCCCGTGCTCCCCTTGCCAGCTTGCCTTGGGCAAGCGAGCACCCTGACCTTTAGGAGCTCAGCACCTATCTCCTGGGACTACTGAGAGATTAAAAGAGATTGTGTCTGTGGGGTGCCTGGTGGGGTGCTTTCTGGACACCAGGCACCCCACAGACACAATCTCTTTTAATCTCTGTTAGAGCAGAAGAGATCATGGACTCTGGGTGAAGAAAATGGTGGAGAAGCAGAAAACGGGCAGAGGCCACACAAGAAGCCCCTGAAGTAGAGAAGAAGGAGGCCACTGCAGGGAGAGTTATGAGGAGAGTTGCCCCCAAGGGGCCTCAGAGGGGGAGAGGTGACGGGGAAGTCCTAAGAGGCAGCATGGGGGCAGAGCCCAGGGCCACACTTAGGCCCCCTGAGGTAGGGTGTGGGCTGGCCCATCTATAAGCTGAAAAAGAGGTGTTTGTTGGCAAGTGTGAATAACGCCTTTCAATTTATCAGTGTCTATTTATGGTACCCAGTGGGCTCATTAGCACTTGTGAGAAATGGTTTAATAAAGGCACCAGGTCTTCTCAGGAGAAGGAGGCCTGATTCTGCCCTGGCCAATTCTGCCTTAGCTCCCCTGCCTCTGCTGCCATAGATGGAGTTTTCCCCTGAGAAAGGGGGATTTGCCCTGGAGTGAGGGCCGGGCCAGTGGAGAGATGGGCCATAGGTTGAGATCTAAAGTTCTGGGAAAAGGACAGCACATCTATTTCACCTGGTTCTTTCACCTGGTTGGTCTGGCCACCCGTGACCACCCCTGCACCTGGTGTGTTCAGCACAGAGCTGGCACGTGGAAAAACATTGGGAATGTACAAGTGCACCATGGCTTGTGTTTCATGGTGCTTTTAAATTAAGTCCTCTCCAAATGTGTTTATGTCTGTCTTCCTTTTACCCTCATGACCCTGTGAAGTAAGCAGGACCATTAGAATTAACCCCATAAAAACTGAGGAAACTGAGGCTCAGAGAGGCAGAACAACTGGCCAAGGGTCACAAAACAGGTGAGGAAGCGAGCCAGGACTCCTGGACTGGACTCGACAGGACTGACCCGACACCCCACCTTATAGGTAGGTGGGGTCTCCCATTAAGAGAGGAGCAGAGTCTGGGAGAGAGGGGTTTTTTTTTGCAAGGAAGACTTTGGACCTGGAATCTGCTTTAAACTCGCCTCGTAGTGTAGCCTCAGCAAGTCACTTCCCCTCAGGGTTAAGAGTCCTCCTCTGTGCCACGTGGGTACCTCTCAGCTATGGCTGCACATCAGAATCACCCTTGGAGCTTCTTAAACCATCCACTGCCCAAGTCCCACCTGAGCCCACTGCAATCTCCTGGCTGGCTGGCTCTGGAGACCTCCCGCTGGGGCTAAGCAGGCAGCTGAGTGAGCCCCCGGCACCAGCTCTCAGGTCTAAGGGCCTTTCGGCTCCACATCTTGTCTAATGCTCTTCTTATCTTCTCTGTGTCTTCACCTCTCACATGGGGCCTCAGAGATGAAAAAGAGCAGCTATTCTCTCCCTCTAACAGTGCCGTGCGCAAAGCAGATGCTCAGTGTCAGAGGATGAGGCCAGCTCACTAGAACCCAGCCTCCTGACTCCCAACTCCAGGCTTTTCCTTTGGAGCATATATCATGTAGCCCTTTCCAATCTTACAATATCAAGCCAGACTCTTCCCCGTTCTTATCTTCCCCTGTCCTGCCTACTCCACTTCCTCCTCGCTCTAGCCTGCCCTCTCCTCGCCACACCCACTGTTCCTACCTTCCCAACGCTGACCTCAATCACTGTAGTGTTTCCTCAGGGGTCTCCCTTCGTCCGTCTGTCAGTCCTCCACACTGCTGCAGCTACACAG